GACTGCAGTAGGATATGTAGCCCCAGCTAGGTGCTACTTTATAGGATGCGTAAAGTTAGACTTGTGTTCATGGAAATGTATATATCACCTGTGTTTGCTATGAAAATGTTTAGATTAATTAAGGTCTTTAGTAATTCAATAAAATGTGCAGGGAAAACAGTATAGAAAGTAAACATAGATACCAGAGACAGTGTGAGAGGAGAGTGGGAGATGACAGAAGGGTAAGAGATAGGGAATCAAGGATGGGGGAAAAAAAGCAAAACATACAGAAAACAAGAAATGGAAAATTATTTGCTGACAATAACATGTTTGTTGATGTGCTTGATTGAGACAATATACAGTGTACTCTGGATGGAAAATCTCATTTTGTATGCTGTAATGATGTACAGTGAATGAATACAAATAAATAAATTGAAAAAAAATAACATCGTGTGTAAAAAAAAACCCAACATGTGCATTATAAATTTATGCTTAGTTAAAAAAATTAGGAATATAAATAAATAAATAATAGAACAAAAAAAGATTTTTGAATTATTTTTTGAATCACTGATCATTTTATCATATATATTGCTTAAAAATGGTAAAATAGAAGAATTTACCATGAAATATTTTTTTTAATTTGAAAAGGAAGATTCAACTACAAAGTTGAAACATTCCGTTGGAACATGAAACAGAAGGTGGTGGCAAAGTGGACAGAGCATCAATACTGCATAAGAGTCACCTCAGTAAATCTATTTACTTTCTATTTTCTCTGATATTGTTTATTGCAATATATCCTTTTATAATAAGAAAGTAGAAACAATAGTGCATAATTTCATAGAACATTTATTTATTACTAAGTGATAAAATATTTGATTGTGTTATACTATTGCCTACACGCACGTCAAGATAAGTTTTCAGGTTTGAAATAGTTGTTGCAATATTTTCCAGAGGGTAAAATACTTTAAAAAATGCTAGGAGTGGGAACCAGCAGTTAGCATAATGGCTATGTCGCTGGACTCCCACGTAGTCAACCGTGGTTCGCATCCCGGACCCGGTAGCTTAAAACTCATGCCAGGCACGTGTGTGTGCATGCCCAAGATCCCGAGAGGAGAATGAAGGAGAAGGGATTGCGGCATGACCATCCTCCCTGGGGGGTGATTTCTCGCTTTCTGTCTCTCTGTCTCTCTCTGTCTGGCGAGTGCACGCGCCCTATAGTGAAAACCTCTCAAAAAAAAAAATGCTAAGGGTTTATATGAAGATAAATCAATAGCTCTCGGTGTAAATATAAAAGGTATCTTAGGGATAAAATTGACGCTTTTTGTTCATATTTACAAGCAAATTGTTAAACGGGCAACAAGTCTCTGTGAGCATTCATTCGAATACTTAATACAAAATTATGAACTTTGTTTTATTTTTTACCACAGGGAGGCATTTTTCTGAAATATATTGATCTGTGAAGTAAAAACGTATACAATTAATAGCATTTCTGAATTTCAACCAATATTACATTGCTATTTGCTACAGATTATTGCATTTTTATTATATTCGAAGTCTTTACAGCTGGGTATCAAAAAGAATTTTGATTTGATTTTTTTTGCCTTATAAAATATTAATAGTTTAAAGTCGATTTAAAAATTAAACCTTTGGAAAAAATAAATCATTCAGCTCGTCCCTGGAAAGCGTATTGTTTCTATTACAGCTGTATATTAATATTTCATTGTGAGTATAGGTAGTTCTGCATATTTCTTTAACTGCGAGAGATGTTGGTTAAGAAAAACACTAATGTTGTTTTGTGGGAGGATAAATTCTCATATAAGCACCATTATAAAATATTAGAAATTCAGAGAAAATTCTGCTACTCTTCCACTAGTTGTCAATTGACTTAATCCATAGACCCATCTTTAATACCTATTAGTGACATTTAGTAACTTCCATGTAAACTTGTGCCCTAAAATTTGGTCTTTATTGCAGTAGTGACTATACACAGGATGTAAGTGAATATGATTATACATATTACTCTCTTCTATTGGGTGGTTTTCATGCTCATATAAAATTAATACTTTTTTCATTTTTAAAATTTTTATTATCTTGCTACAAGGCACATGAGGTCACCAGAGAGAGGGAGGGAAAAAGAGAGAGAAAGGAAGAAAGAGGGAGAGAATGAAAAGCACCCACCCTGGAGGCAGGGGCATGACTATGCCACAGTCCCTTCTCTTCTATTCTGCTCTCAGGATTTTGGGCATGCATGCACACATGCACAGCATATTTTTTAAGCCACTTGAACTGCTCACCTGGCCATATGAAATCCAGCTGCCTTAAGTGCTATGCTGCCTGGCTGGCCTTGAAATTATTCTTTTATAATATGTAAAACAAAGGAAAGCAAAGAGTTCAACATAAAGTGGAGAGAGTTACTTGTGCACTCTCAACTTCCAAGATTAATTATGTGCGTTGGTTACACAGAAAACCAAACAGCAAGATATCGACTCAACAGGGGGCAGAATCTTGGTTGTCCTTTACTGTTCACCTACAGGTCTCTGAGACTGTTAGTTTGTCTAGTCTTCTTTGAATAATTAAGTATAGTACTATAGACTTCTTATTAGAGGTACTTTGTTTGAATATGCAAAACCAACAGTATTAAGTCAAGGAAGAGGAGCAAAGTTGGCTGCCAGGAGACCTCTTAGGCCAACCACTACCTTGAGGGAATTTACCACATTCTAACTGCAGAGTCTGACACTTACTATTTCAGGCTCTTAAAATTTTTACTACTTTTGTCAACGCATCACAGTTGAAAAACAGAAATTCACTCAAAATAGATCAAGTAAAAAATGTGATATATCTGCAGGCTACAGGAGAATCTCATGGGAAGATGTTTAGGATGCAAAGTAAAATCTCAAAAAACTAAAAGTTAGGAAACTTTCCAGCTTTTTCTCTTTGTCCATATTTCTTCTATGCATTTGTTTCATTTTCTTTTTTGTGTACTGATCCTCTCCCTTTGTCTTCTCTGATTTTGTTTATATTGTTGAAGTCACTTTATTAATTTACAAAGAGAAATACAACTTCCAAAGGTCAATGCATTCATTCTTCCTCTCTAGGCAAGTTTCAAGATAAATCAAATTATTATAAAATAATTAATTATAGAATAATAATTTGGTTATCATAGTAATGGTATCATAGATATATGCATTAATGAATCCAAACTCATTAAGACATGCACCTTAAATGTGTGCAATTTTTTTTATCAACTATATCTCTATAAAGTTTTAAAGAAAGGAAGTTTGGTGAGCATGGAATCTAGGTATGTCAATATAACTTTTCAACAGGAGATAGTTCTTTGAAACTGTAACCTTCTTAGAGTCCTTGTTGAAGTGATAGAATTGGGAGGGTTTAGGTTTTTAAATTTTTTCTTTACTCATGATTCAGCTTGTGTGCATACACACAAGTGAGAGAGAGAGGGAGAGAGGAGCCCTCTGCATAAGATCTGGTCACCCTATGTTTGCCTTGCGCCCTGCTGTCTTCCTGTCTGTTGTATCTTGGATACTCCTACGTGTACTGGGAGTGATTCAGGCTTACCAAGATGAGATTTAAACTGCAGTTGCCATGTGAGAAATCAGCTTCTCTTGAGCAGTGCATTTACCAAAGCACCACAGAGTGGGCCCAGGGTTAGGCTTTTATATAACTTTCATTAATTCTTTCCTAAGCTCTGTAACAAAAAATTTAAAAAAGAAGAAAAAACAAAGCTAAGGCAAACTTGTTTGTCTCAAGAAAACTACTGGTTTCCTTTTGATCTTAGAGGAATCACAATATATCCTCCATTTTCCTGGTTCAGGAAAAAGTGGTTAAATTCAGTGCCTGCTCATAGCTGTCATTCGGGGCCACCATCATCTATTACCTTTTTTGCTGCATAGAAATTTATATTTTCTGGTACCATGTCTTTCATTTTCTGATTGAGTCTCTCATTTTAGCACAGCACCTCCTTCAGTCGCCTCCTAAGAAAGAGTTTATGGGAAGTAACATTTTTCAGTACTTGCTTATATGAATACACCATTTTTCAATTTTTTTTTTACGACAGGTTTTTTTTTTTTTTTTTTTTTTTGACGGAATTTTTTTTTTTTTTTTTTTTGGTGTGTGTAGGGCATGTGCCCTTGCCAGAGAGATAGAGACGAAAGATAGAAAATGAGAAATCTCTCCCCAGGGAGGATGGCCACAATTCCTCCTCCTCCATTCTCCTCTCAGGATTTTGGGCATTCATGCACATGCGCCTGGCATGAGTTCTAAGCCACAGCATCCAGAACTCAAATTGCAGTTGACTATGTGGGAGTTCACCAAAGTAACCATCACACCATTTGGTCTCATCATTTTTCCTTTTAAAAAATATATGCATTTTTATTGATGATAGAGTGCATGCGCACAGATGTGAGAGTTTGTGTGAGAGATGAGCCCCTTTCACAGGATCTGGTCATCCCACTATTCACTTTCTTCAGTCCTCCAACCTGTCAGATCTTGAACACTCATGTGTGTGCCCAGCACGTTTCAGGTTGACATGTCGGGGTTGTAAATCATAGTCTCCACATGGAATTCAGGTTCTCTTGAGTAGCACATACAGCCACACCACAGAGCTAATTCTATTGAAGTTATTTATGTAATCCTGGGTCTGTTTTCTTGGCACAAATTCTGAAGACATTATGGGTTTCTGATTTGGCATTTTAGAAAAGTAAATCAAATGGGTTACAAAAGGATAATGTCATGTCTGATAAAGGCTGGAACATTACTGCTATTTCTGAGAAGTGACAGCCAATCATGAAGAATTTCGTGCAGGTGTTTTGGGTTCAAAATTTGATGTAGAACTCACTGACACAGTATTGTTTGGGCATGGAGATAATCATTCTGGAAAAAGGGAAGTCTTTTCAATAAAAGAAATAACCTCAGAGTACAATAAATGCAGTTTCTTTTCACAACCTATTGTAGAATAAGTAGCACTGGAGAATATGTAGCATTGTAGAATATGTAAGCTTTTGTTCAAGAATGTAAAAATAATTGGCATAGTCATTAATTCTGGGGAAGGATTTTGAAATTATTTAGAAAACTGGCCTTACCTTAAATTACACATAAACTAGTTCTCACACCTTGTCTAAAGAATTAACACCTAGTCTGTTTGTGTGTGTGTGTGTGTGTGTGTGTGTGTGTGTGTTTTAATCTAAAACTCATTTGGCTGGTTCTGGGAACATTGGCAGTGTAGGTGCTTGGACTGACTCGCCAATAAAAACAACAAGCACAGGTGCATATGTGCAATTCCTTAACCACATTTTTTTCATGGCTTCATAGTATATAGGCACAAGAGACAAAGATTAAGGAATGTCCAAGATGGGGAGGCTAGTAAGAGGATGTTTCTCTCATAAAAATGGGATATCAAATGGCTAAATGAGTAACCTGAGTTAAACTTTCCTTACCTTATCTCCCAGAAGACAACAAGGATAATCTATTTTCTTAGACGTAAGTTCTGCATTGAAGAAAGTTAAAAAAACAAAAAACAAAAAAACATAGTTAAGAACTTGAAGCACAATCTGACCCTGAGGCTCAATGTGTATTAGAGGCTCAGTACCAAAATAAAATAAATAAGGAGATCTGGAGTGGAAAAAAGGAACAAAGTTATGTCATTTGCAGTGATATGAATAGACTTATAATAATAAAAAGTTTATAGATAAATTACCATAGTAAGATAAATTACTACATTAAGATATTTTAATAAGGTTATTGGGTTCAAAACGAATACACAAAAGCAATTCAAATTCTATATGATTTAGAAGTTTTGTTTATAAAGGCAAAAAAAAGTGGAAACAATTCATGTGGTATGTGCAAAAAAATGAAATACTGGGTCATCAGTAAAATCATGACACATTTTAGCATAGAAAAACCTAGAAACATAAGACATGACTTTCCTGATAACCTAATAGTATATAGTGGCAAGAAGAAAATAATGACAGCTCCACTTTCCTTTCAATGAATCTCAGAAATGTGCAAATCTGAGCAAATGGAGCAAGTCATAGAAGACTATATACATGGGTTTTACTTACATACAGTCAGAAACAGGCAACACTAAACAACTTGTCAGGTGGAAATACAGCCTTTGATGGGACTGGCAAGTGGCACGGTGGTTAAGGGCACTGGACTTCCACATGGCCGACTGTGGTTCGAGTCCTGGACCTGGTGGCTTACTTTCTCCCTTTCTCTTTCTATCACTCTTGTCCTTCTCTGGTCAAATTTAAATAAATAAAGTTAAATAAAATAATTATTTAAAAAAGAAATACAATCTTTTGTGGTACCAAGCTAAAGAAAACAAGGGATGAGATGATAATAACAAAAGTACAGATACTGTGCCATCATGTAGCCAGTTGGTTAAGGTGGTTGGTTCACACAAAACCAACTGCCAGTTTGAGTCCTAACCTGGTGGCTTGAAAAAACACTCTAGCATCTGTGCATGTGTGAGAAAAATCCTAAGCAAAGGAGAAATGGAAAAGAAGGGATTGCTGTGTGAAATTCTCCCATTGGGATCGGGATTATTTTATTACTTTCCCTCTCTCCTTGTCTCTCCCTCTGGTGAGAGTATGTGCCCTCTGGCAAATTAAAAAAAACTGACAATTAACATTGTAAATTAATTTTGACAAAATCAAATTAACTTTTATTTGACATTGACTTTCATTGATGAAAGTATGTTGTAGATTCTTGTCCTATAGAAGGCCTGAATTTTAGGTGTTATCTTTGTGGTCATATCATAATTCAAATATATATTTTTAAATATTATTAAAAAAATTTGTCAGAGGGTGCATGTGCTGACCAGAGAGAGACTGGGGGGGGGAGGGGTATGGGAGAACGGGGAATAAGAAAGCACTCCCCATGCCCCGTGGAGAATGGTCATACCTTAATCCTTTATCCTCCTTTTCTCCCTCCTTTTGGGATATTGGGCATGCATGTACATGTGTCTGGCATATTTCTCAAGCTTCTAGGTCTGGAACTCAACCTCACAGTTGGCCATGTGGGATCCAACCACCTTAGTTAGCGAGCAAGAGGCTGGTCCTTAAATACTTCAATTTTTTTAAAGAATTATTTTATTTAACTTTATTTGTATTTATTTATTTTAATTTGACCAGAGAGGGACAGAGTGAGAGAGCGAGAAAGTGAGAAAGCAAGCTGCCAGTTCTGAGATTTGAACTGTGGTCAGCCAAGTGGAAACCAGTACCCTTATCTACCACGCCACCTGCTGGCCCATAAACACTTCATTTTAAAAAGTAAAACTTTAAAAGCACAAATAGTACAAGATTTATGATCAGTCAAGAACTAATCTGTGGTATTATCACTCCCAATCAGTAAAATGTGATTTTCTTTCAAGGTAAGAAATTTAATTTATTTTAAAATTTATTTTTATTGCCAGAGGGCACATACTCTTGCCAGAGACAGAGAAAAAGAGAGAGAGAGAAAGAGAAAGAGAGAAAAGGAAAGCAACTCCCAATGGGAGATGGTCACACTGCAAACCCTTCCTCTTTGTTTCTCCATCCTGCTGGTATTTAGGGCATGCATGCACTCATGCCCACCATGCTTAAGTTGTCGGGGCCAGGATTTGAACCATGGTCAGCCATGTGGAATCTAACCCCCTTAACCATTAGGCTATGGGCTGGCCCAGAGGTAAGCAATTTTCCCTATTTATTTATTTAGTTAGTTAGTTAGTTTTTGCTATAGAACACATATACTTGCCAGAGGAAGACAGAAAGAATGAGAGAGAAAGTGAGAAATCACCCCTTCTCCCCAGGGGGGATGGCTACGATGTAATCCCTTTTCCTCCATTTTTCTTTTAAGATTATGGGCATGCATACACATGCCCCTGGCAAGATTTGCAAGCCACTGGGTTTGGGACTTGAACTGCACAGCTGGTCATGTGGGATCTAGCACTTTAACTTCATTCCACCTGATGATTCCTGGGTAAGTAATGTTAATACTTAATTTTTTCCTTCTCTTATTTACCTCTGTAAATGTAAATAGTACATTTATACTGATATTTCCTTTTTTTCTTTCTTTAAAATTTAAGCATATATTTTCTTCTTTATATAGAAGACAAAGATGTAGCCCTATAATAATGTATATATTGTTCTTCCCAGTCTGTATCTATAGTTATGTTACAATTTTTATTGATACCAGAATTCATTATTTATTTATTTATTTATTTATTTATTTATTGAGATATTTTTGCTATAGGGCCTTTGCTCTTGCTGGAGAGACAGAGACAGAAAATCATCCCACAGGAAGTACGGCCACACCACAATCGCTTCTCCTCCATTCTCCCAGGGATTTTGGGCATGTACGTGCCCAGCATAAGATTTAAGCTGCCAGATCAAACCATGGTCAACTACATGGGAGTCCAGTGACATAACCATTATACCATCTGCTGGTCCCCCATCATTTCTATTTTTATGACGTGGAAATACTTTTTAATAGTGAGTTACAAGGTATGCTATGATTATAACTATTTCACTGCTTAATGTTTTGTTTTTTCAGGAGTCAAATTTTGCCTTGTGTTTTTTTGTTGTCATTGGCATTGCCCCTCTATATTCCTGTCACTAGTTCTCTCTAACTTCTCCAAGGTAATTGCAAACAAGCCATCTCAATATGGCCAAACACTTCTGTTAATCTGTTCTTTCTTTCTTTCTCTCTCTCTCTCTCTCTCTCTCTATATATATA